GGCTTTAGTAAGAAGATCATTCTATCGACGCTCCTCTCGGAACGAGAAAGGATATCCAAAAGAGTGAACGTTGTATAAAAGCGCCTGCGTAAAAACGAGAATTGGTCATAGTATTTCGGTAAGATCATCATAAATTTTCTTAAAAAAATCAGTTTCCTCACAATTTCCCAAATTCTAATAAAATAATCACTGTTATTTTCGAGACATAGTAAAACCAAACACATTAATTCACTGACAACAAGTGTATTTTGGTATGTGGAATAGACATGTGACTGCGCTAAGATTTAACCACTCACGTTTTAAGGAAATATGAAAAGTTATCTGAATTATGACCCATGTGCTAGTAGAGATTCTAATTCGTCCGTGGTAAATTGCTAGTAATATGGCCAAAGAAGACTGAAAGTAATAAGTGGCCATGAAGTAACAGGACTTAGAAGGAATACAAATAGAAACAAGCAATAATTGAATGCATTGATGAGTTTGTACTTACTTGTTAGACTAAAGCCATTGCTTTCGCCAGCAGGGAGCAGAGAGAGCATAATCTTTGCTGGTTCAACGTTTCGATTTATCTTTGCCAGAGGCACCTCTAGCAACCGTGACTGGGGGTTAGAAGAGCATAAAAGAAGCGGCCTGGTAACCTCTGAAGAAGCAATGGAAGAAGCAACAAATTCACGATTCAAATCAGCTCTTTCAGAGCTAATTCCAGAAAGTGTAGGAGTCATTGGTATGAGAGTAATAGAGGAACTCGGAGTGTTAATGGAATTTAAAGTAGCGTTTGAAGCAGTAAGAGTCATTTTAGTGGTAAAAGAGGATGATGAAGTTATAGCAGAAGTAGCAGTAGGCACCATATTAGAGGCCGTACTAGAAATTTCAGTAGATGCCACCTTGAGTATTGGTAGTGTACCATTGGCCGAGGCTATTGAGACAGCTGGAGCCTGAGGTGAGGCTGTGAGCACAGAATATGGTGATATTTGGACAGGCACTGGAATAAGATTGGATGCTGAGGTGCCACTGACCATAGCAGCTACGGCGGCCGCACTGGCGCCCGAAGGAGCAGAGATCAAAAGTAGCGGGAAAGTGGTAGGGGTAGCAGAAGGGTGTTGGCCGGCCGACGGGAGAACAGTGAAGTGTGATCCAAGGCCGCCAGGAAGCGGTTCGCGCCGCCTAGTCTGTATCAATAGGCTAGAAAATCCTGTTGATGAGGATGATTGGCCGTTGCTGAGGCCGGAACCGGATGGGCTATGGGAGTTACCACCACCGTCACGATCGCCGGAGGAAAAACTGGCGGAGCATGAAGGTGCTAGTGCCTTGAGAAGAGATATATGGGGGGTTGGTGTCGTATTATTATTGACGGGATTACATGGGTTCGTGGAAGCTGTCGAAGAACCACTTGGAGCAGTTAACAGAACAGGAGAATTGATGACTCCTGCTGAGGAGACTATGCTTGGTAATAACATTATTAATTGAGCACCACTGGCCGTGGAAAGTGAGGATGATGTTGAATTTATGGTGGGTATAGAAGAGCCAGGTTGAAGATAGTTGTTAGAAGAGGAGACGGAGGTAGAAGGGTCGGAAGATAAAAGAGTTTGGCAAGGTTTTGAAGAAGATGAAATGTTTGGCATTTGGGATAAAGAGATCGGTATGACAGGATTTCGTAAAGTAGGCTCAGATAGGATGGAGCTAGGAAAGCCGGATGATGCCAGGTGCCAATTGCGATCAATGGCAGCGACTATAGGAGTGGCAGGTGATGTCTTGGGTGCATGGAGTTGGTCCAGGTTATGTGTGGGCCTAAATGTAGCGCTTGATGTAACTACAAGTGGGGTCAGCGGTTTGTGTAGTGTTGCTGATGTTGTTGCTACTGCTGTTTGTACTACTGATACAGATGGAGGAGTTCTGGATACCGCAGGAAATGGGCCAGGAGTGGCTATCAATCCGTTTGCCTAAAAAACACAAAGAGAGATTTGAACTAAACCAAGGACGAATTAGCTGTAATGCTTAAATAAAAGAGGCAGGGTCATATCTTTAGGGTTGGATTCTCTTGCATATGAACTGATTGAAAATAATTTAAATCAGTGGCTGTTCGCCTAAAACAAAGGGTTATTAGACAGCATACAAATATAGAAACAGCTAAAAGTGAGCTAAAACAAAAGGTGGATGCGATTCTGCCAAGTTTTAGAATCCAAATACATAAGCTACAGTATAGAGTGAACATGAATGCAGGCCATCGGAATATAAGGAATATATAATCTGATAACAAGTCTGGAGATGTAAGATATTACTAGTCATGATTTTATTACAGTTAAGCTTATCTAATTTCGCGATCAATGTGGTTTAAA